GTGTGTCTTTGTTTGGCGCTACCCAGTTTTTGTGATCCACCATCTTGAGCGTCCCCTAACAAAGACACCCGTACTCGGAGAAACCGAGAAATACTTTGAAAGACAACAACCTACATGTATTAAGATACTGAAGTTAAGCAGAAATATGCTGTACCGGGCGTGGGAGAAATAAACTAGGTTGACGCATTTGAAGAAGGGCTCACGACTTGTAACAGGTGTAGAGCGAAACAGAGGGCTGACGTTAGAGAAGAAGCGGGAAGACAAAGGAACCGCTGAACATCGCGAGCCAAGTACAAAGATGCTCTATGTGCAAACACGATGTTGAGACATGGAATTGAAGTAGTCATATGACAACCATGATTAGAAAGAAAATGCATTTGTGATGTGTAGGTTTAGTCAACAGCTTGAAACATATGTTTCTCCTAAAATAGTCATTGGTATTCTGCTGGATGTGTGCAACAATCAGGAACGAATAAGCTAAGGTGTAGAGTTTGAGAAGTGACATGAACGAAGTAGGGTACGACCTGGGGCGTGCTGAACAATTATCCTACCTTCTGCATCCCTAAGTGTCCTTTGGGAGAAACACAGGCACTGGTGCATGATCAGGAACTCGAACTAACTTCAAACATAGGTGCCCTTTTAGGGCAAATAGATGGCCCTGGTAGATGATGAAACCACCAGGTAAACAAGGGCCATCTGTTTTTCTACCAAAACAACCAAAAAGGACACCTACGACTTCAAACCTGCGCCCATGCTGACCGTTCAAAGGACGATGCTATCCATCTGCATCCACCTCGCCGGTCCCCGGAGAGGGATCAACTTATCGCCCTGAAAGGAAAGTCAGTTGGGGCAAGACGCAACGTAGGAAAACCTCAACAGAGAGACCGTGGCGCCCGCATTTCCCGTTTTAGGCGGTGTAAACATGAGCTTCTCTTGTTGATGTTGGGACAGAGATGGGCTCCACAAATCCCTTTCGTGGGGAAAAATGTAAATGCGTGCGCCCGACAGAAGATCGCTCTCGTCAGCTTTCAGAATGGGGCGCGTTTTGGAGGTCTTCGCTTCGGCTCTCTCCAAGCGGCAATTTCTTTGGCACATGCGGATGCATCGCCATCGGCGATAAAAGAAAGAATACAGCTGCCAAGCTTGTCGCACAAAACATGCATGTGTTCTCTTGTTGTTGGTACCCGTTTGGGGACGGTGTTCATGGGAAAGCTAAGGGAAACCAAGCAAAAACGGCCCCTTGTCAATGGGTCCTTGTTTGCAGAAATCCCATGTCCTCACCGCTGTGAATGCCGAAACAAAGCAAGTGTTCTGCCCGGCAAAAAGCGGAGCAAAAGCATATGCAAACGGTTTGGCGTATGTGACCTCATGTAAAGGTTCCGCATGGTTGGCGAGGTTCGCCGCTGACTTTGCGAATCATGGCGACTCCCTCCCTCCCTCCCTCCCTCCCTCCCTCCCTCCCTTCCTTCCTTCCTTCCTTCCTTCCTTCCTTCCTTCCTTCCTTCCTTCCTTCCTTCCTTCCTTCCTTCCTTCCTTCCTTTTTTTCTTGCTTCCTGCCTGCCTGCCTGCCTGCCTGCCTTCCTGCCTTCCGGCCTTCCGAACTTCCTGCCTTCCTGCCTTCCTTGCTTCCAGCCTTCCGGCCTTCCTGCCTTCCTTCCTTCCTTCCTTCCTTCCTTCCTTCCTTCCTTCCTTCCTTCCTTCCTTCCTTCCTTCCTTCCTTCCTTCCTTTTTTTTCTTGCTTCCTGCCTGCCTGCCTGCCTTCCGGCCTTCCGGCCTTCCGGCCTTCCGAACTTCCTGCCTTCCTGCCTTCCTTGCTTCCAGCCTTCCGGCCTTCCTGCCTTCCGGCCTTCCGGCCTTCCTGTCTTTCTGCCTTCCTGCCTTCCTGGCCTTCCGGCCTTCCGGCCTTCCTGCCTTCCTGCCTTCCGGCCTTCCTGCCTTCCTGCCTTCCGGCCTTCCTGCCTTCCGGCCTTCCGGCCTTCCTGTCTTTCTGCCTTCCTGCCTTCCTGGCCTTCCGGCCTTCCGGCCTTCCTGCCTTCCTGCCTTCCGGCCTTCCTGCCTTCCTGCCTTCCGGCCTTCCTGCCTTCCGGCCTTCCGGCCTTCCTGTCTTTCTGCCTTCCTGCCTTCCTGGCCTTCCGGCCTTCCGGCCTTCCTGCCTTCCTGCCTTCCGGCCTTCCTGCCTTCCTGCCTTCCGGCCTTCCGGCCTTCCGGCCTTCCGGCCTTCCTTTATTTCTTGCCCTCGTGAGTTATTTATTGGTGTGCTGATGTACTAATTATCTATCTTATCTTTGTTTGTTGTTTTATTCAGTTGTCGTTTGTTTAACGGATATTGTTTCCTCCTCCTCTCCCTCCTCCTCCTCCTCTCCCTCCTCCTCTCCCTCCTCCTCTCCCTCCTCCTCCTCAGCCTCCTCCTCCTCCTTCTCCTCCTTCTCCTCTCCTTTTGCTCCAGCTGCCACAACTACCTGACAACTACCTGACCCATCCAACGCCATCTGTGTGCAACCCTGAGTCGACTGCGCTGACCGGAAGCCTTTCGAAAACCAAGAGATGCACAACCACTCCTCCAAAAGAAATGGGCTTCCAGGCTAGAGAGTTTGAGATTGAAGCCCATGCTCAGAGAAATGCAATTCTTGCCAGCCTCAAAGCAATTCTTGCCAGCCTCATGCGGCACCGCATCTGAGCGCCGAGAACAACTGCAGCATAGCACTATTGAAAAAGGACCCAGTGTTCTGGAAGGGCCAAAAATCTCTGCGCGTGGCTCGGCAGTTCTGCACTTTGGCATGGCAAGTTGGCAGCGTCGCATTCGGAGAGGATGTGCAAATTCCGTGGAACTCCCCAATTTTCTAGGGGTTGATTCCCATTCCATTCTTTTCAAACACCGGATCTATTTCCCCTGGGTTTTTTTAAGGTTTCCTGAAAAGATTCGGATCCCTGAGTTCAGAATGGAAATGGAAAAGGTACCCCTGGACTTTTTTCGCACGCTGCACTGCCCGGGGCTGCGGACTCAAAAAAGGCACCCCTGGCTGGCAAAAGCAAAAGCAAGCCGGAGCAAACAAAACAATAGGGACCTCTCAGGCAAAAAAAAGGCAAAAAGCCCCTAAGGACAAAACGGCCCTGAACTTTGACATGCGGCATATGTCACATCAAAGGGTTTTCCATGCATTGTATAAAAAACCATCTTACGCGCGCAAGGCCCAAGCGAAACTGGTAAGGAGAGGAAGAATACAAAGGTGTGCGTTGTGAGGGTACCCCTTTTCACCGTGGTAAGGGAAACCAAAAGGAAAACCACCCAAAATGGATCCCCTATTTTCACATATACCCAAATCGGTGCTTGTTTCCCGGGGCAGTGCCGACGAGCTTCATGGTCAAAATTCGGAAATCTGCGCGGACCATCCCTCTTCTGGTCTACGTTTTCTGTGCACCGAACGGCTGGTGTCATTCTTCAAAAAGCAGCACTTGGGCCGTCTCAAAATGAGCTTTCCCCTTCCTTGTCCGTGCAAAGACCAAGAAAAGGTACCCTCTCAAAAAGAATTGACATGCCCAAGTGGCACCTCCATCCTGGCAGATGCAGGCACCAGCACTTGACTCGATGTGAGAAGCGACCCGAAAAACGACCCCGCAGGTTCCTAAAGAGACCCACCGTCTCCAAGGCTGCCTCTTGGCACGTGCCCGCGCGTCGCAAAAACCAGCAGGCTCTCGGAGGAATACCAGTTGCAACGAGGCCATAGACGGGTTGCATCAGGTTGCATGCCCGCACTGAGACCCACCAAAGCGTTGAAAAGAGTCCGGGAGGTTTGTCTCGCAATAGGGAGACCGCTCTTCCTTCAACGAGATGAAGGGACCCTACAATCCGCCCAGCACACACTTTGTCAAGCGAAAATGGGGCGATGGCTACCGGCAGCAAATTCAGCATGTCGATGTTGACAACCAACGAGGAAAGTAAACAATGTACTGTCATCGTGAGACTGGAATCGACCTTGTCGATGGCACTTATCCCAACGGACAACTGCCATGCAAGGTCTTCGCAACTCTGCAACTCGCAGCCGCAACGAGCATGCTGCCAATGCCCCAAGCTGATCTATTCTAGGTCCTCCAGGAGAGAGGTTAGCATAAGTCGGTACCCTTTTTGTTTTCTTCCTGTAGTCTGTTTTAGTAGGGGCTTTCCCTCCCAACCCAAAAACGGGGTGAGAGGTTCGGGCACCGAGCTGGCGGACCTTTGTTAGGGACGGGAGACGACTCCTCTTGGCCACCCTTCCCTCAGGAGCTGAGAGCTGAGAGCGAGCTGAGAGCTCACCGAAGCTTGAGGTGGACTTGTTGGGAGTCACGAGCGTTTCTCACGGTCGGGTTTTGCCATATGGGTGTGGGTCAAAAATATGTACCCTATCCAGTTCTGGTTTGGGACATTTGGAGAGTCTTTGTGCCTTCCAACAAGCCCGAAATGCCAGGAGCAACTCACTCCAATCGGCCTCGATAAACTGCTCCATTCTGTCCAAGGAACAGTTCACTGCAGCCTGCGAAAACGTATCTGGCGGGACTCTAAGCTGGCTTTCAGGTCAGCCGGTTCAGTGACAAACACCCAAGCAAATGTGCAAAAGGACATGACAATGACGCCTCTCACATGCGCAAGTGCCCGAAAAAAGCTATAATACCAGATACTATGATACCATTCAAGTTGAATCAACGAGTCTACGAAAAACAACGAATTGCATACGAGCATCTAACAAAGGTGTTGCGGATATGCTTCCCACTTGTTGACCACTCAAACAACTCATCGCGAGCCCTGTCCCCTTTCGGTCTTGAAGCGTCCGAACTCGAACGTTTTTGTTCAAGTCCTGAAGCCCTGCACGGCTGTCTTTCCTGAGAAGGACTACCCCCTTCCCCTGTGACGCCAAATCAAATAGATTCGAAGGCAACAAACGGCACTCAGCGTGGAATTCGCGGCACCAACCTCTGTCCGAATGAAGCACGTCAATGGAAAGCGCAGCATGTGTCACGTGCTGAACTCAGCCCGTTCGCGCATAGCTGCGAAGCTTCATCCACTGGCGCCGATCAATGCCGAACAGCATGAGCCTGCAAAGCACTCTCCAAACCAACATGGAACCTGAGCAACCACCACTTTTTGTTCGTGGAATCTACTTTTGGGGACGCCCTCTTTGGGTTCCGTGTTGATCGCACCCCAACCTCGGGCCCCAAATCACGTGGCCCGAACTGCGCCTGCCACGCTGACGAAGGGCAGTCCCTGCGGCAGCTGCCAGCTTTCCTGCTGACTGCGGCTTGACCTCGGGTCAGCACCTATTTAATGCAGACTGGCTCTTGCCCGCGTCCAGGTGACAAACAACTTTACGCAAATCAGCGCACAAAACTAGATATATCACAGCATTGTGGGCATTCCTTGGCACATTGCTTGCTAAGGCACGAGAGATTCCACTAGCAAGCCAGGTTTCGTGAAAGGTGTGGCGCTCCTTTTGCTGTCACATTCGGTATTAGAGGCAGTGTGAGCAGTATGGGCCATCCGGGTTCACGATTCCACCGAGCAGACAACAAGCATGTAGCAGTTGCACACGCCAGCACGCTGCAGTGAAGCCCCACCTCAATTGCCCTCCCTTGTGGTGTGATTGGCTTTCGTCGAGCAAAACCTGGATTCTCTATGGCATTGCAATGTGGAGCCCTCAGAACCAATGTCAATGTGGGAAACTAGGCCCTAGTCACTAGGGTAAAGCAGGGCAGTGATTGGGATTTGCGGAAGCCAACCAAAAGTAGAGACGCCTTCCAGTCTCGGGTTACAAATCTGGAAGTCCAAACCTTTGAGCCACTGCGCCTAAAAAAACCCGTCAACTCTTCACCTCAAAGCCTACGCTGGAAGATGCTGTCAAAACAGAGCTCCAGCCGCACAGCGCCGCGTGCTTTTGAAAACGCCGCCTGTCCCCCGAACACTAAAACGGCCATAGGCGTCCGTTTAGGGGAAATAATTAGATGGGTTTCCCTGGCAGATGATGAAACCACCAGGTAAACCAGGAATCGCCCTCTATTTTTCGAGCAAAACCACCAAAAAGGACACCAAACACACACGGCCGAAAAACCCGGCCGAAAAAAAGTTCTGCCGGGCGGCGCCGATCTTCGCCACCGCGAAGCCAATGGAAAGCAGAGTCTGTGTTGGGATCCTCGGAGCCGACTGGGAAAACCGGTTACAACAACTTCTGACGGGAAGACACTGCAGCAGCTTAAAATGGAAACCGAAAAGCAAATCAGAGGAAGGTTCCTTTTGGGGAGCGCATTCATCAGGTGAGTATGCGGAAATTGGCTATGGGAGCTTCCATCTCCATTGGCGGCAAGAACGTGAGAATGTTCAAGTAGAATTCCCTGGAGAAGAAAAAAAGAAGAAAAGCAGGGGATAGAACGCCCATGCTTTCCACATCCCCAAGGTACAAGCTGAAAGCATCCGATACCCTCACTTCGGACCAAGTACTTCCCAGCTCTCAGCATGGTTGTGGCAATGGGCCCGTGAAGCCAAAAAGGCTGACTCAGGTCCATGCCCATGACTGAGTTCCATCCCCAACTTTCCGCAACCACTGACTCTGCTTCAGCCAAGCAGCTCGACCGAACATGCCGCCGAGCGCAAAGTAATGTCTTCGGCAAAGTCGAGAAGCTTGGGACTAGAAGTGCCAGCATGGCCGATCGCCTGAAACGAAGCCAAAAAGGCGAGCGCGAGATATTACTTGACTAATGTGTGCAAAGAAAAATGGAAAGTCCGGCCCCTGAACAACGCATGGCCTCCTCGTTAGGATTGTGGGAAGTGCTCACTTCTGTGAATACTACTGGAAGGCCTTCCATATGAAGAGTTCTCTGTAGGGGGGACAAATTCCCTTGCACTGAAGTGGGAACCAAACCTTCGCGCTCGTTCATTTGGGGCCACAGGCGCACTCCGCGTTTGGTCTCATTGATCTGAGATTCGCGCAGGCCGTTTGTTACTTGTATGGGAAAACCCAAAACACGGAACCTCAAAGCCAGCCATCTGGCCAAGGCAGGGCAACACGCAAGTCTCTGAGCAGCCTCCAGGCATGGCGCAAACTTAGCAAAGTGGTCAAATTCCGTAGAAACCCGGTCAGAAACCAATAAAATTCCAGCGGAAGTCTGTCACTCCCCAATCCCAACTAGAAACTGGTAAAATGCTCCCTCGAAACCGGTCAAATCTACCCTAGACACCGGTCAAATGGGAAACCAAAACACATACTGGCCGAGGCGGCAACGCAAAGCGTTTACAATCATACACATGTTTGTCTATGAGTAGGGGCACTCTGTTTGATAGACTTAGGCACCAAGAGGTGGGTCAGAATGGCTCATGGAGGTGCAAAAGCATTGGCTTGCACCGAGCATCAAAGTCCGAGGCAAAGGCGCCCTGCTCAAAATTCTGTGTGTGTGTGTGCGCGTGTGCTCGTCTACCTACAAGTCTATCTGGCATCTATCTGTCTATGAATACATGTTGTATCTGTGTATTAATGTATCCATGTGTGTGTGGCTGTCTGTCTACATGTATGTCTGTATGTCTGAGTGTCTGTCCGTCTGTCTCTCTATCTATTTGTCTGTCTGCCCGTCTGCCTGTCCTTCCCTGCCTGTCCCTGTCCGTCCCTGTCCGTCTCTGCCTGCCCTGTCTGTCTGTCTGTCTGCCTGCCTGCCTGCCTGCCTGCCTGCCTGTCTATCTGTCTGTCTGCCTGTCTGTCTGTCTGTCTGTCTGTCTGTATCTATGTATGTATGGATGTATGTATGTATGTCTGTATGTCTGTGTGTCTGCATGTCTGCATGTCTGTATGTCTGTATCTGTATGTCCTTATGCCTGTATGCCTGTATGCCTGTATGCTTGTATGCCTGCATGTCTGCACGTCTGTATGTCTGTGTGCCTGTATGTCTGTATGCCTGTATGCCTGTATGCCTGTATGTCTGTATGTCTGTGTGTCTGTCTGTCTCTGTCTGTCTCTGTCTGTCTCTGTCTGTCTCTGTCTGTCTCTGTCTGTCTCTGTCTCCGTCTCTGTCTCCGTCTCCGTCTCCGTGTCTCTGTCTGTGTCTCTGTCTCTGTCTCTTTCTCTCTGTCTCTGTCTCTGTCTCTGTCTCTGTCTCTGTCTCTGTCTCTGTCTCCTCTGTCTCTGTCTCCTCTGTCTCTGTCTTTGTCTCTGTCTCTCTCTCTGTCTCTGTCTCTGTCTCTGTCTCTGTTGTCCGTCCGTCCGTCCGTCCGTCCGTCCGTCTGTCTGTCTGTCCGTCGGTCTGTCCGTCGGTCTGTCCGTCGGTCTGTGCGTCCGTCCGTCCGTCCGTCCGTCTGTCTGTCTGTCTGTCTGTCTGCTTGTGTGCCTGTATGTCTGTATGTCTGTATGTCTGTGTGTCTGCTTGTCTGTGTGTCTGTGTGCCTGTATGCCTGTATGGCTGTGTGTCTGTATGTCGGTATGCCTGTATGTCGGTATGTCTGTCTGTCTGTCTGTCTGTCTGTCTGTCTGTCTGTCTGTCTGTCTGTCTGTCTGTCTGTCTGTCTGTCTGTCTGTCTGTCTGTCTGTCTGTCTGTCTGTCTGTCTGTCTGTCTGTCTGTCTGTCTGTGTGTCTGGCTGTCTGTATGTCTGTATGTCTGTATGTCTGTATGTCTGTATGCCTGTATGCCTGTATGTCTGTACGTCTGTCTGTTTGTCTGTATGTCTCTATGCCTGTGTGTCTGCTGTGCGTGTGTATGTCTGTATGCCTGTATGCCTGTATGCCTGTATGTCTGTACGTCTGAGTCTGTCTGTGTGTCTGTATGTCTGTATGTCTGTATGTCTGTATGTCTGTATGCCTGTGTGCCTGTATGTGTGTACGTCTGTACGTCTGTGCGTGTGTATGTCTGTACGTCTGTGTGTCTGTATGTCTGTTCGTCTGTATGTCTGCATGTCTGTACCTCTGTATGTCTGTATGTCTGTATGTCTGTATGTCTGATGCCTGCATGCCTGTATGTCTGTATGCCTGTATGTCTGTATTGTCTGTGTGTCTGTATGTCTGTATGTCTGTATGTCTGATGCCCGTATGTTTGTATGTCTGTACGTCTGTATGTCTGTATGTATGTATGTCTGTATGTCTGTCTGTATGTCTGTGTGTCTGTACGTCTGTATGTCTTTATGTCTGTATGTCTGTATATCTGTATGGCTGTATGCCTTTAGGTCTGTACGTCTTTACGTCTGTGTGTCCGTATGTCTGTATGTCTGATGCCTGTATGCCTGTATGTCTGTACGCCTGTATGTCTGTGTGTCTGTACGTCTGTATGTCTGTATGGCTGATGTCGGTACGTCTGTATGTCTGTGTGCCTGTATGTCTGTATGTCTGTACGTCTGATTCCTGTATGCCTGTATGTCTCTACGTCTGTATGTCTGTGTGTCTGTGTGCCTGTATGTCTGTATGTCTGTATGTCTGTATGCCTGTATGTCTGTATGTCTGTACGTCTGAGTATGTCTGTGTGTCTGTATGTCTGTATGTCTGTATGTCTGTATGCCTGTATGTCTGTACGTCTGTACGTCTGTGTGTCTGAGTATGTCTGTATGTCTGTATGTCTGTATGGCTGATGCCTGTATGCCTGTATGCCTGCATGTCTGTACGTCTGAGTATGTCTGTGTGTCTGTATGTCTGTATGTCTGTATGTGTATGCCTGGATGTCTGTACGTCTGTACGTCTGAGTATGTCTGTGTGTCTGTATGTCTGTATGTCTGTATGTGTATGCCTGGATGTCTGTACGTCTGTACGTCTGAGTATGTCTGTGTGTCTGTATGTCTGTATGCCTGGATGTCTGTACGTCTGTACGTCTGTACGTCTGTGTATGTCTGTATGTCTGTATGTCTGTATGCCTGGATGTCTGTACGTCTGTACGTCTGTACGTCTGTGTATGTCTGTATGTCTGTATGTCTGTATGCCTGGATGT